CGAGTACTTCAAACGTCCCATACCCACACCTAGACCTATAAATTCCACTAAAACTGAGGAACGAGGTCTTCCCTTTAAATCACCAATCTCAGCAGCTCTAAAGTGTTTAAAGAACTTGACAATCTGGATGTTTGTTTGCTTATTTTACCCGTTTGCAACCATTGCTCCAGCTACGGCTTTCTGTCAACCCACGACTTCGGCGAAAGCTAAAGACCGCCTAGGGTTGTCGCAGCACTGCAACTTCCAACCCATAGCAGTGACTACAGATAAAAGAATACATCACCACCTAAATGTCCTTCCTTCAAGAGGCATTTAAAATGCTAGGTCACAATCACCCTACCTACATTTCTCCTGACTCAGCGGTTTCATTGACTGAGACGAACAATCTGATTCCACGGCCGAATTCAAAATCACCGAGACATTTATTCGTTTCCAAACACCACCGTGATGCAGATAAGGAAGCTACAGTTGCACAAGAACCTCATGAAACTTCTTCAACTTCTTCAACTGGTTCGGCAAAACCCGAATATAGAGTAGGTCCAGCAGACACTCTAATAGACGTGACTTCCCCCACTAAAACCAAAACAATTCAACTACTCATTTTAATAGATCATAGGTCTACCCAAATTGCATCAGGATATTACAATGCTTACTAAGTTTACACACGAACAACGAGATGCACATGCCTCATCAAACTCTATAGCTCTCAAACTCCCAGTTAGTTCTGGCCGCAGAATTGCGGCGCAAGGACCCCAAGCAGGTTTTATTAACATATTTCAAGATAAAACAGCTATACGAAAGCTTGCCACAATGGTGCTATAATGAGCATCCCATCATCAGTGACTAAACTCAAGTCTAAACATCTAACTGACTCAAACTGAGTACCAATTGTAACAAAAATTTCATATTTCTCTTCCGGTGTCTCAGCTGTCCGCCAGAATGCAGCAGTGCCGAAAGGAACCAACTTACAGACTTACTCGACTGCACCTAAGAGTGGTTAGCATACTGTAATTTTGTTGGAGACACCTAGAATATGCTAGAAATAAACCTGCACTCCCACACCTTACTAATAGACTGAACTTGCTCCATGAATCTACTCATAAACATGACCACAACAAACTTCGTCTTCGAAAAATTATGGGATCACCTTGAGCTTTACTTAATGTCTTTCTAACGGAGAGATCAGCCATCTTGGGTTACTTTCCGGGAAACAATGCAACAGTCCCTGGTCTATCTCTAATGCTATAGTTTGACGAAGAAAATATTGCTTGGAATATGGTACAACCCTATTGAATGTCCATCTTTTCGATAACTCGTACCAAACGATCTCAAAGTAACCTTGCCTCTAATTAGCAGTAGAGAAATTAGCACCTAGCTGCCTTTTGTTATGTCTCGTACCTGTTGGCGTAATCGTTTCCCTCTAGCAATCGTGCATTGGCACTTGCAGACACTATCGTCACAAGCTGCACTCGACTGAAGAACCAAAGTCTCCTGTTGTTCGCATGCGGTGAGTCACTAACTGGACGTAGATTCTGCTGACATCATCTCAGCGGATCCAGATTTTGACAAATTACTAAGATACCCAGACAAAAACCGGACAAATAGCGTGAACTGGTGCTTAGGGATCCTACAGTCTGAAGAAGATGAGGACCTATTTGCGGTGTCCATCGTTTTACCAGTGTGGTTAATCCAAAAGGAGTAGAATGAAGAACTGTATATCGCTCTCGGTGAGCGAGATCACATGCACCTTTGGGAAGACAGCGTGAACTAAGTGGATGAGAACGTGATAAATAGCTCATTAGCCAGCGAAGGTGCATCAGTCATTAAAGTGATGGACTGCTGCCACCGACCATGTGTTATGGTGTAGCTTGCATGACATGGAAGAATGGAATAGGGCATTCTGAGGAAATTGTATAGGCTACACCCGATTACCCATGGTCCTTGGACAGTCTAGTTCAAACTTGATGGTTGAATGAATTAAACTTTGTTAGGCTATCGAACGGTGCCCTCGCCGCATTTAAGGTGAGTAGTTTTTAAACGCCCAGTTATATCTTAATGTAATCAGTTGATCAGACCGACTGCAATTCCGGTGAATCCGGTAAAACTATATATATATATATATATATATATATATATATATATATATATATATATGTGTGTGTGTGTGTATGTATGTCCCATGCTGGGGCTGATGTTGCATTCATGAGGCTTCCTCACCGCAGTTGGGAGAAACCAACTTATACTTAAACTAGGTCTTTTTAATGTGGATAAAATTCATTACCTTTTATTTGGTTTGTTCTGCGTACTTGATAATCTTCTCCCAACATGCACACGTCGCTCATGCAAATTGTGGTAAAATTGCGTAATTGTATCGCGTGGTTATTTTTACATAACTCGGACAATTGTACTTATCACGGATTCACTTAAAACCAATTTCTTCTATATGCTCATTTAGCGAGTATTTATGTTGTCATATACGTTTACTTTATTCGATATTGGCATTTCGAATGATTGGCTGTTGTTTGACATCCCAGGTGTGGCTGCGCTTGATGTGCATGTTGACAAGGTGCCTACCTGTCTGTTACCCACTACCTCGACCATCTGGCTCCAGGAGACAGTTGGTCGTTGCTGGAGGCGACGCAGTGCACGGTTTTTGTGGCCGTGTTAGGATCTAAAAGTGATTTCATGCACTCAGTGTGGGGTGGACTACGGTCCAGCCACCGCATTGTGTAAGCTTGATTCCCCAAATACAGCGTGCTTGTGTTTACCTGTGAAGGAGTGTGGGCCAGCTCCGTTGAGGAGACGTGGCTCCCATCCACATGCCTCCCGGTCTTATTCCTTCGGGTTTACACTGAATATGGGGTGTGTGGTTGGAGCTGTGGGTGGTGCAGCGCAAGCCATCCATGGTCCCACTGTAGGCGCGGATGTCCTCTGACTGGCCACAGTGACAGGCAAATCCGTAACCGGTTGTCGCCAACGATATATATATATATATATATATATATATATATATCGGAGGGTGCCTTACGTGAGTAAACCGAAACTATGGTAACGCAGAATGATCAGTGTCAGCTTATCAAGAACTCATGTAAATTTTTGGTAGCGAAATATGACAGTGTTGTGATAACATCATGGCTGACGTTGCTTAACTGCACCAGAAGAGACTGTTGCACCAGGACGAGAAACGTCGGTTACGGAAGCGACAGGCACCGATGAAAGCCACCCCCTCGACATTATGCACATGGTGCTGGTCCATGCTGCGACAGTAAACCATCAACTCGAAAACAACGAGCCTACGTAGAAGGGACAACAAAAGAGTTGGACTGGTAAGTGTTAGCGCACGGTACGTAGGCTGCTTCCGGCTTCGTTTACTAACTCAGGCCAATGATGTTGTAGATGTAGCGCGTGTGCTCCAATGTCACCACCGTTAGTCTACATAGGTACCTCTGAAGTTGTATTAGTGCATGGGTAAAGACATGTACCGGTAGACATCTCAGGTCAGGCTGTACTTGGTACGAGTGTTGGTAACGTTTCTGTCTGTCGAAAGCCGCCACCTTGGTTACCGGCTCCAAGAGACCTTAATTAATGCTGGGAGGGACTGGGTACATGGTCTTCCTAAGAGCGATAGCTTCCAAGAGTGGATCCATCCAGTGTGGAGCGGACTAAGTCCCAGTAAGCAACTAGTGAACGTGTGGTATGCATATTTCCCTCAGTTCGCATGGGTGGTTTACATTTCGAATGTTGGCCCGCTCTGAAAGTATCGTGAATCCCATACATACTGGAGAGGTGTGTGGATAATATATCTGCAGGCGCTGATATTCTGCGGCGGTTCGCATTCACAGCGACCTATAAATACGGGACGGAATCCGCTAACCAAATGTGGGTACGCATGGTCGTCGTCATCAGGCGTACGTAATGCTCCAAAGACAATTATGTCAATGGCCGCGATCCATTACAGTTCAGGAACAAGATTTTATCAGGTAGTTCTGCCGTTACCGCTCATTAACCTGGTGTTGTAGACCTTGCTTCTTGACAGGATAGAGAGAACCATAACAACACTATATTTGTTTGAAGTTGGCCAACTCTGGCATTGCTTAGGACGTACCTTGGTAAACCACCTCTACGCTAACTCACCAGCAAAATCTTAGCAACCTAGGTAAAATATCGGCTCTTTCAAATTTACGCACAAGGCGACAGTCAGTAAATGAGCAAACATTGGCAATCCAGCCTACGCACGATCTATACTGGGATGTCCACTAAGTGGTTCAACGTAAGGATGACCTGCGCTATATCGGTCAGTCTGCAGCCGCATGACATACGACATGCTCCTTCCAGCATAAATCCTCCAGTGTGGGTCCAGTACATCAAACCGTTTACAAACATAAGCTCACACGAATGACCGTGAGCAGGGAACAGTGTCTGCCTCCGGTCGCAGAGTCCTTGCTGGCGCATCTACAGAATTTAATGCCACAGAGATGGCATTCTCGGTGTATTCAATTCCTAACCAAGAATTGACCAACACACGAAAACTGCATGTCAAATTGCTGAGGGTTCCACAAGTTTCATTAATGCTATCCCTTTATACTGTATCGACGAAATCAAAACTATGGTTACGCTTGCACCAAACCTGCAGATTTCGTAAAAGCAAGTAAAATTCGTTTGATTGTGAGAGCAAATGACCATTATACAAATAACGCAAAGAGATTATGTCACTAGATTTATGCTCTGTCTTCTATGGTGAAGAATAAAGTCGAATATGCTGTCATTACATTGGCGTTTTTGTAAGCCTAAGTAGGGTAGTGGAGAGCAGTTAGTGCTTGGATGTGATCTGAAGTCAGTCTGAAATGTCATCCAAATACACCTGGTATTTGGCCACCCAAGTTATTCGTTGCTTTACTGTGTGGATATACGCTGGAAAGTATTTGTAGCGCATCGTCGTAATGTATCGTAAAGCACTGCTCTCCTGAGAAGGCGATTAGAATGAATGAATAAACACTCACTGGAAACCCCCGTGTAGGCCACAACCGTTAACCTAATCACAGCCGCAGCTTGGCGAATTCCAGCAGTAACCGGGAAATCTTGGTTAATATCAGTGGCCGACATCTATGTAGCCGCGCTCTTAGTCTCTTCTTTAAAACAACGTCATTCGAGGTGTGCATGTGTTCTGAATCCTCACCCTGAGTTGACAGTTTCGTCGTCAAGTTAAACACTTTCTTCACGAAATCACCATACAGTGCTCCTTGATAGGTAGTTTGTAGGAGGCATATTGTAGCTGTGGCACAGCTGTTGTAAGACTTGAAATGAAATGTTTCTTCACGGCACCCACATTATGTGCAAAGCTTCCCTTTCTTATTTTCTAGTGGGCCGTTTACTAGATAATTGTCACGACTGCATTCACAAATATTAACCATTTAGTCATTTTAATTGGCATCGCATGGCTCCTTACCGAGGTTCGTTGCCATCACTTTCTGTTTCGTTTCAGGGTACTCAATACGGCTAAAAACACTTAATCTGCAATGAAGCTTGATCGATTTGGTGGCGTTACTGCAGACTGTGGTGCGGAACCTGTCGTTGGTGTATGCGGATTAGTTGAAGGTATTGCATTCATCATCATCCAAATACTCATGCATGCTACTTGGTCAGTGCAAACCAGAACAGCTAATGCAATGAAGCATATCAATGTGACCCACGAATGATCCGGAGCCTGTCCACTTTCTCCAAACGTGTGCATGCGGTTATGCGCACTAGATGCACGTAGGGCGACGGCTACGGCTTATTCCCCCTTCCTTGGGGAAGTGCTCCCATAGCCTGACATCGCCACGGAGATTGTGCATTCTGCCCCCCCCCCTCAAAAATAAGAGCTTGTTTCCTAGCACCAGTGCCCAAGGTAGCGGCATCGAACAGCCAACCATCTTACCAAATCCCGCCCCAAATGCAATCTAACTTGAAATGTACCCAGGGACTAGACTAGAAGGAGCGTAAAGAGACTTCCCTTACGCTTTTTCTAGTTGAGTCCCTAGGTACATATAAAGTTAGATTGCATTTGGGGCGGGATTTGGTAAGATGGTTGGCTGTTCGACGCCGCTATCTTGGGCACTGGTGCTAGGAAACAAGCTCTTGTTTTTGAGGGGGGGAGCAGAATGCACAATCTCCGCAAAATAATCTTAATCTATTCTTCATGACATCGGCTCCATCACAGACAACGTTGAATTGGAAGTTAGTATTGATCTTGACAATGTATTTACACGCCATGGTATGCACCTGTCGTTATTCCATCTGTGCGTCTCGTAGGCATCGCGTTTCAAGGCACTCCAAAGGGAGTCTTTTTCGTCATTTATATCACTGGAAAAAGTGACACTTTCCGCCGGTCGCAGCATTTTCAGAGCGGTCGCTACCTGTATGGCTGTCAACCACTGAGAATACTAACACCATAAGCTTCCTAACGGGCCCACATACGTGCGACTGCATTAGAGCGATGTCAAGTTTGCACGACTGTTGGGTTGTGATTTGTGACGTCGATTGAAACCTGCTTTTTAGCCATTTAATTTGACCTATAACACTCAGCTCCAGTCGGGAGTTTATACAAGGACCGTTGGGAATGAAACTTCCATTATCCTCATTATACACCATAGCTAGAGATGGAAAACACCTCAGCTACTGTGCCGCAGTACCTAAAAGAATAAAAGGAAAATATTGTAACAGTTGCATGCCATTTGAGCTATCAACAATGGATGGGATCGTTCCTGAAAGCTAACAGCCGGCTACTATGCAGCAAAAATTCTAATATGGAAAATTATCGTATGCTAAGAAGTGAGATCATGGTTGGAAGGGGACTAAGAGGAATGGGGTGAGACAAGGAAACTCGCAGCACGGACGCCACTGAGGTCGGCTCCTGGCCATATCAGCAACTGTATCCAGCCAAACCAGGAAGCCGATATACTCCAATTGACGCCAGCTTTGAAGTGAGGGCCTTCATTCCTCTCGACTAAGTCATCGCTTGGCCACCTCTCTTCTTCGTCCAGCCACCTGTCCTCTTCTTCTCAAGTATCGGTATAATTTTGTTAACATTTCGGTCCTCCCATTTACTTAGATAACTGCCATAAAATGCAGGCAGCCGCAGTCTAGCAAGTTCCTGTCACTCCTGAAATCTCCCGGATTCCAGTGGATAGTCTCAGAACACGCTGACCACACAGGATGGTTTAAGAACTTCAGCTACAACCACTCCAAGATCCCATCTCAACTTGGATCCTGATATAACAGCTTAAAGTATCATCCATGAGGGTGGATATCTGTTAACGCTTCTCTGTATTCTGGAAACATCGATTCGAGGGACGAGCTCTCTTATCAGTAACGGATGGACATACTATCACAAAAAGAGAACCAAATAATCCAACAGGTGCACCACCATTACCTTAAACAAATTTGTGCCTAGAGTTGCTGCGCGAAAATCCATCGAACCAAGTGATTCTGCCTTACGCCTTCTGCGCGGTCAGCGCGTGGGCGGCACATGAGGCATGTGGTCAAATTTAGACGAAACACTCCATATTCTAGATTGTTTTGAGCAGCGTATTAATCACGCTGTAACCAACAATGTTGTACTGATTTGGTAAGGAGAAAGCACAGCGTTCAGAAGAGACCGGAAGAGAAACAACACTTTTTGATATTGGATTATTCCACTGCGTCTGATTTCACAGAACAGATAAGCTTCGGGTTACTTTTGCTTAGTGGAACAGCACACATTCTCCCAATCAGTTTCCTAACCTCTCCCGCCTTTTGCTTCGACAGTGAAAACGAATCGCATCAGTTAACCTTCTCAACTGCTAATCACTCCAAAACTATGGCGATTGGCGTTTGGCCAGACGATGGTGAGAGCGACGGATAGATGTATGGGTTAGATGAGTGGACGGTAATTTTCTGATTGGATAGGTAGATGGGAGAAACACATGGAACCAATCAGATGAAGCACAGGATGAAATACCGAACAAGCACATGTTTCCCTCATTCAGTCGCTCACCAGCTGACGGTTCACGGATTACGCGAGCTCTGGTGAGCATCACACAATTGGAAAAAAATGGGAAAGACTCGGAGTGTATCTTCTGACGACTGTGGTTTGGAGGAGCCAAAGTGAGTCATCTGTTATGCTGTCGAATATGGTGGGTTGATGGATAAATTGAATTAAGCGGATACAGGTAAATAGTGACTTAACATGTAAGATTAAATTACATGTTCTTTTGGTGAGCTCATTGAACTGTAAACCTATCGCTCACGATACGGACTGTGCAATAGTGTACACCGTGACCTAGGATATGTGGGGGCATTTAGTAACGCACATTGCTGAATAGTTCGCGACATCAATAATGAACTCGGTGCACTAAAAGTATGGTAGATTTTCTGCTCCATGGTTTACCAATGATATGTTCGTCCCCTGGCCAACCGACAAAGCAAGTTCAGAGGATACCCAGTAGAACCACAGGAAAAGCAACCAGGGAATCCCTCGGACAACTAGCTCTACTACATCTCCGCCTAATATCCCATTCTGTTCGACATACCGCAATAGCCATTACTCCGACGGCAACTATTCATCTTCTTCTCGCCAGAGAAGAACATGGTTTTCAAGTAAGTATAACCGAATCCAAGGTTTCCCACTATTTCGCGGGTATGAGATGGTGATGGTGAGACGATGCGCATCCCCTTTAGAACGTTCAAGAATAAGAACGCGGAGGAGCGAGTGTTCAGCTCTGTTCCTGCCCATAGAAATACACCTCATCGGCTGCATACTCCACGGCCATAGCTGCAGATTTGCGCCCTCCGTCAGCTAGTCAATCGGATACTTGAAAACAGGGGACCGAAAAAGAGCAACTGGTGTTCTCGACCAAAATTTCATGGCATCTGACTTTGGTAGAAAACAGTGCGTATCCTCGTTTGGTATTCTGTTTCTGTAGATCATGTTAGGTGGTACAATTAAGCAAATTCACGAGCAACAGCCTTTTGATGAAGACCAGGGATAACCAGTGTGGAGGAAGGTGTAAACCGTCACAGGTTCAAAAATCAAATCGTGTACCGTTGAAAACTCCAATTCTGCCAGACGCTTCAGAAACGTACGTCGAGCAAGTTAGGTCTAAAGATAAAGCAACACCAAGATATTTGCTACTGAATGAACTAAGTATGCTTTGATTAGACGGGTATTTTGAAACGCTTGTTGTGTGAAGGGATTGCGACGCGCAATCTCATTATGGACCGCGATTCACATTTTAGTGAACCTTAGTCAATGTGATCACTGAGACCAGAATTGATGAAGTAGGTGTATATTGGTGGTTGCCCACTCACACTGCAAGACGTATTATTCTCAAACGTGCAGCGTTCAGTAGTTACCTACTTCACCAGTACGGCTTGGATGACAAAACCATAAGAAGATAGATGAATGTTTAAAACCAGCAGCAAATTATTTGCCTACAGAGCTGAGAGACCCGCATGGCGTTTAAACGCGTTAACTGCTCCCTTTGGAGACTGAAATCATCTCAAAAGCTCATCTACTCGTTGAAGTGCCAGACACACTTAGGTGGCGGTAGACAAACACCCTAGGACAGCATCTTAGGTATATTCACAGACGTTTAAAAAATATGAACAAGGGCCGATCTCTGCAAAACATCCTGGTGGGCGGGAGGCATAGCACGCTTGTCATCGATTAACCGGGTGAAACGAGTGCACATATTTAGATGAAAGATCTTCATGAATAACATGGTCAACAGAAATGGTGCATAAAAACTATCAAATTCTTTTATGTAGGCTGAGAACGGAAGTTATGCCATTATGACTTTTCGATTTTGCATTTGATATTGGTGTTTCAGAGTACGATATAGAATCTAAAGCGGAGCTCTGAGGTTTCTAGATGATTTGACGCAACAATTCTGCCGTAGCCTGAGTGATGGTCACGAACATGAGTAGCTGCAGTTTTCACTACTCAGGCAAAATGCACTGACCAGCTTAGCGTTGGTTTAAAGTGGGTAAATCTCACATCATCGTCAGCAGCACAGTGTACAGTGCTGAAAAATCAGATGTCCTACCGTTGGGCAAGAAAAATGGAAAACTGAATTATTACAGGTACATGCTTAACGTTGCACGAGCCCTGTAGATGAGAATAGCAAAATCAAAAAAGGTCGTAGGATTTTCGGGTTTCGGTAGATTTACCGTATGTTTAATGCAGGCATACCGTCTGATTGGCTTATGGCATGGTCCCATGAAATGAACCACGTATTGTAGGTGGGACGGTGTCTCATGAATCCATTTTGCAGAATAACCTAGGGGCAGAAATCACAAAGTCGGAAGAGCATTTTACGATTGTCACACTCGAAACGAGAATATGCTCCGACGACATCTAGATCGCTTTAACTGTGCAGCTAAATTCAACCGGCAGCAAAACAACCGTGTGTCGTGTCTGCGTCACCGAATTTGGTGGCAAACACTGTCAGAGTTCCTGAGAATCCTACACACCGCTATAAGTCGCCAAGCAGACGCCTATCCTGTCCGTTGTAGTCCCCTAGTGCTTTTATTCCCAGTTTGCAAACCGGGTAGAATAAGTTCTTGACATGTGTATCTATCTTGTGCTGTGTAAGCTGTGGTTTTTATGGTTGCATGGTGTTTACCACATAAGGCTTCCAGCGAGCGTCACTCGTTTGCGGGAATATGGGAGGGTCAAACCGTCCGGACGCTCGACAAGCAATAGACATGCTAATGGCTGATATTTCCTTTTGTTTTATTTCATTCAACGGACCTCCTGCTTAGTGTTCACCCAAATATTTATTTCAAAGTATCTCCATACGCGTGTGCTCAACTCGGCGCTGCCGTATATGCACCGATTCACCTTTCATCACGTCGAACAGAAAGTAATGTAGGAAACAGTCGCATCTCTTTAGAAATGACCCCCCACTTTCCTGCCAGATGATCACTCACCATATCAACGCCATTGCTTACATGGTCCATGGTCAATGGTATATTGCGCATAAAATAGATGAAGCTTGACATGTCACGCCGGATGATCGGTTAGGGGTGAGCAAAATAAAGGCACAAAAAGCAATAGGAAATAGTGGACAACCGCAAATTGCGAATTTGTCGATTACAGCGTTCCCGTCGCTTTTAATGTCTTATCCAACGTTATCGTCTGTAGTTTCCCGGTGAAAATGAAGGCGGGTTGGTTTGTTTTCCTGTTGTTGATATGGGACGTTTGGATAACGTGATATGGTGTCGTGTGGCCAGTGCATTATCGACACCTGCTTTGAACACGGCTAACGTGGCGGCTGAAATAACAGCTTCTGAGAGGGTATTCCACGTGTAGCAAACACGCAGCGAGAAGAATTTTCTCTGACAATCCAACCGACTGTGTTGTGCTGCCAATTTAAGATGATGACCTCTCTGTTGGTGATTGTGATTCAGCTTCAATGGGTGATGGCAGGGGTGATTAGTGTTGTTTAATATTTGTCAAGCCATGATTAGGTCACCACGCAAACGGCGATAACGTCCGCTGCAAATGCCAAACACTGAGGCGCTGTTCGTATGATAAGTGGCGCAGCCTCTTGACATCTTTGGTCGCCTGAAGTTGTGGAGGCTCCAAGGCTGTGAGATCCCGCTTTGCCTATGCGTGCCATGCTTGAATGGCATATTCAACACGACGGCGTACCTGAGCGGGAAGCATTTGGTAGAATTAGATGGCTCGAATTGCCCGAAAGGTCCATGTAAAAGCCCCGCGGTTTGGATCCCTCCTTCGATGCCTTTTTGGACTGCTCCGATCAACCGAGATCTTCCTGGACCAACACACCTAGATCCTTTTCTAGAGAACACTTTCAGATCCTGGTCCCACAGCTTATATGTGCGAACCGTTCGGTGTGTTAAATGGAGAACTCCACATTTAGCCACATTGAAGAAAAGGCGAGTATGGACCGAGCATCCATAAATCTTGTCAAGATCTATTTGAAGGTGGATGCGGTCTTCTGGAGCTCTGATCACTCGCCAAACTTTGATGTCATCGGCGTAGAGTAAGGTTTGACGGAGTTTGACTCACTAGATCGTTTATGATCACTGGTAAGCACTGGGAATTGGTGGGGCACCACTAAAGTACACTGGGGACAATCGGGTCTGTACAAATTGAATGATCTAAAGAGCCCGTCCATAAAATGTGAGAGCTAGCAGTTCGCAAAACAATGGTATTCTGCTTGTGTAACGTTGGATTCAGTGAAGAGGACAGGAATGGAGGAGTTGAGGAAACTCCAGTACCGGTCGTAGCTCAAGCTCAAGTTCAACTTCAGGTAGGACTAGATCGCTAGCACAATCCCGTGAGTGTTCCTTCTTGGGTGGTTCCTCGAGCCAGGAATGGATTAGGTGCTCGGAGTTCTTGACGAATCTGAAACGGAACACCAGTATCGCACCATAGTCAACCGATTACTACGCACGTTTTCTGAACTAACAGTCCCTGTTTTGGCAGTCACGTGACGTAAGCAAAGGATAGGAAGAACAATCGAAGATGCAGTGTAAGGAACTTGAGTCGAAAGAATAATAAAATATAATACCAATGCCTGAAGGCAAGTAGAGCAAAGAAAAGCAACCATAATAATATGAGTTAGTTCGGAAAAGGGAAAGATTGCGTATTGCCTCCCATTAGCGTCAAGTTAACACTCAAACACCTTAACCGTAGATTCCCTGATAATTTCCGGAAACATGTTCCAGCGCTCGATGACTCGGCTTAACAGCCAAGTTTCCGCCCTAATCCCATCGGACCGCAGTTTCTTCAGCTTTATGGAATGACCACGGAGAACAAACAATCTAGCGTGACTGAATAGCCAAGACAAATCTGGACCGTAGGTTTGCGAAGAGTACTCATTTCGACAAATCTTCTCAGGCATTTACAATTATGCAAATTGAAGGTCAGGGCACAAAGAGTTGATGAAGCCAAAGAGGTGGGAATAGTGGAATCACAACAAACAGACATTCAACAGCAGAATATTCACCCCATATATGAATTGAATTGAAAAGTCTTGCTCAATAAAGTCGATTAACTACACTTGTGACAGCACTTGTTGGTTGATCGGTGGAATGTCTAGCGCATCATGCGATCGCTGTCAGCGAACAAAGTGAAGCGAACGAAGTTAGCAAGCTTTTCATTACCAAGATAGAAGAACCCCTTGTAAAAAAAGCCTTTTGTTTGTATACTTCTGGTTTAGTTATCCTAATCGCGATCGCTTCGGCCGTCCGTAAGATTTGCTTCCTAAGGTTATTAGGGTGTCGTTTTTGTACTGCACAAACTAGTTTGAAGGTATCAGCCGTCCTAATTTGGTGTCAGCTTTCCACCAGATGTTCCAGCATGGAAAATTTGGTGCGACTGACGATGCCTTTCCGCAAAGCCGCTGGGCCGTGCCCCTCTATGCGTTTACACAGATGCGTGGTTGTGTGTCCCACGTATCTCGCACCACAGTAGGTTAGTAGTAAGTCTCCTCTAAGCCTTCGGTAGTGCATTGAATGCATTCCCAAACTAAGTAGGCGCTCGGGGTACGTCTGTTCCTATAATCCCTCAACCAACCTAGTACCCACCCGTAAAATCTTTTGTACCTCCACTTTGCCCCAGACGAAACAGGGCGGACAACCTGGATGCAGTATTCCAGATGAAGCCGAAAGAGAGCTGAGATCTGTCTCAATCACTTGTTACAGTCCGTCAACGGCAAGGTTAGCACATAGGTTAGCGACTTTAACATAGACCTTGACAGGCCGTAGAGTGAGGTATAGATCCCAAATAACAGTTAGGGTTGAAATAGCTTTTTTTATCTCCCCACGGCGAAACTTCTACTACCTTTGTAAGTGGTTTATGGCCTAATTGGGGACATTTTCACTTTTATGCTCTAGAACAACATGGAGGAGGTCTTTCTTAACCTGTTCCGACACCGTCATGTGCGCGATGGAAAAGTCGTTCTGTCAAACTATTCCTTGCGACAATTATGTCAAGTGTTGCGACAATTAGAGTTAAACGTAACGCCATCTGTGTGTATGTGTGTTCGATGTGATCGAACTCATTAGTAGGTTCACTCCCCCCCCCACCCCCCGAGCAGAATGACGTCATCAGTGCTTTGCACACCAATGTGACCGGTAGGGAATGGGTTGTGGAAATGTCATCCGAAAGACCACTTCGTCTCCCCGGTCCGCCATCCATCAAGTGGGGCCAATTTAACGGTCATTTGGTGTGCTACAGTTGAACGGGGATGGGCATTGGGATGTTCTCTACGTTCTCCTCTGGACGAGACACGATGAAACGCATCCGGCCCAGAATCCATTGCAAGTGAATATGTTTAGTCATGCGGAGCGGGATGGAATCGGTCATGGCGTTCCGATGATCCGAACTCGCATGCATGTGTGGTTCCTGTCCTATGGTATCACAGAGTCGAGAGCCTGATACTTTTAATTTGCCCAGTAGTTTCAGTTAAGGGATAAAAACGATAAGATCCACCGCCAACGGTCCTCGATCGTCTTGTTCTCTCTTACTGAGATTATGTGTGTTGTTTTACACTACTGTGACCTGTTGCATGAGACCCCTGAATTGAAGACTTTACAAAGCTACCATGGTGGCGTGTTCTCTGTTTAGGTCAGAACGATCGGCCTAGTTCAGTTCAATTCATTTGAACAAATATGATCTAAACACCGAAGCTTGGTGGATCCAGTCACCACGACTCACATCGTAAGAATAACAATAAATAGCAAAGGCAAAATATTGGGGCTGACCGTAAAGAACATGGAAGCAGGAAGGAAAAGCTCTAGATTAAACCTAATAGAATGAAAATTAACAACTAGATACAAGAAACTGAATGTGAAAACCTCACTGACTGCGCAGCGACTATGCTGGCATGACAGTAACTTCGACTGGGGACAGTTCTCGAACTAGACAATTCATACCGGGTTAAAATAGCATTTTCAAAGCAACTTTGATCACACGTTGGTTTTCACATCCAATCATTACACCCTCGTAATCATCCCACTATATACATTGGTGATAGCTTTCATATTGTCACTCGATGAAAATAGACCAGCTGCACTTCGGTGGTCGAATCTTCCTTTTTAGACTGCACTGAATCGAACAGAATTCTCCTTGTTCCTAGTCCGATCTTAACGACAGCGAATTTTCCATTATGCCAGAATACTTTTTGACTTTATCTTGCTTTCAGTTCGCCCTTTGCCAACACGTCTGGGACTGATCGGAAGCGGAGGCGCGGAGTGAGTTTCAATGAAGTTTCTTCTCCGTACATGAATGCCATTGTTCAGAGTTGATCGACAACCAAAGAGAACAGGCGATTTGAGTGTTATTCGGTAGTTCGTTGTCGTTGGACTAGGTGAACTGCAATAGGGTGCGGCATTATGAGTGCTGATAACGATTTCGAATCAATGTCGATGTCCAACGGTGTCAGAGGTTGATGGACGCGTATGTCCAAGAATCGAGTGCGTTTAATTCTACCCGGCGAACTATTCCACAGTCCGCCGCTTAATATGGACCAGTATTTGTGGTCTCTTACCTGACACTCGATCCTCCGTATTCACTCATCCTCTTACCTAGTCGTTTCAGCGGGCTTGCTTGTTTACACACGTGCTGTCCATTGGGCGGTCGACAGGGTACGCGTCCTGTGGCCGCATCACAATTTCTCGGTTCCCCGCGTTCCTCATGAGCAATAATGAGCAGTCGAACGACAATAGTTGACGAAATCCGTTCCCAGCTTTACCTGACACACTGACCACGGAATGTTTAGGCTCGCGTCGTGTCCATGGGTGGCGTGCTCTGCGCTACACACCACTTACCCACACGCATATCCATTCTAAACCGAATGGATATTGCTGAAAGGCATTCTAACAGGGATTAAGTGCGTCAGCAACTACACATCTTACATCTGTATGCATATTAGTAATACATGTGTTCTATTACCATTAGTAAAATGAAGAGAAACATGCGTATCAGAAGTACACTGGACGGTAGCTGAGTCGTGGTTCTTTCCAAACTGGATGGAACGACTGTCACGGAGAAGATGCATTCTGTTTTCCATAGCAATTGTAACAGTATCCTAGAACCGGTAATCCAAGCACTGTCTTCCGACGGGTAGACGCTGTCGGCACTCGCATGGAGCGACTACCAGCTTGACATATTAGTGGGAACAAATTTCAAGCGTGAAATAATGCACTTTCACTAACACAAGTAAGTTTGGGTTATATTCGCCACGAAATGACCATCCCATGGTTTATAAGAACTGGTCATAATTAAAGTAATTTCACTACTAACTCACTAACTTTTGGCCTCCGGAGGTGTGGTTGGAAAAGCCAACATTACAGGTGATCGCTAACGACCTAGCAGGTTTGTGACATCTCATTAGCAGTGCGTGCTTTGAAGCACTTATGATTATTGAGCCACTGGGAATAGTTGCTTACAGGGGCAGCAGCATTCCTAGCAGTAGTAGATCACATATTTGATGGAAACAACAGCTAGAATGTGATAGCCGCACATATGTGTCCCTTTGCAAGCAATTTTGATGTATATGCCTTGTTGTCGGATGTCGGAGGTGTACTGCAACGCACACAACTTTTGCCAACTCTTCCCAGGTAATTGAAAAACGCAGGAGAGATCGCATCAATTGCAGTCTATACGACCTGAAGCGTCTTGTGCCTGACATGACTCGCAAACCGGTAAGTTCGCTGGGCTCATCATTTTGCCTTCGCTTATCCGATATCTTCACACCTTTTTGGGACTAACACAAATTCGTTTCGGAATGGCTAGTATTCATCCTTTTGTCCTTCCATTGTTTTTCATCATACCGGTGATCAACCAACCTGTGAACGTGTTTGTGGATGTGTCCGTGCCATTGTGCCACGATCCGCTCAGCGGAGTTCTGTTCGAACGTGGATCCGGTTGCCACGGTGTTGTGCCAACATCATGATAAGCCATATCAATAAACAGACATCAGCAAGCATCTCACTCCCCGCTGTCAGGTCGTGTCATGTCATCGCCTTATCAGGAACACCATGGTACGTGGACGCCAGGCACATACAGGGCTGACGTTGCACATGAGGCATTCACACGACGTTAAAGACGTGGTGTGAAACTTCACAGACTGCCTACGATTGAATGTTAGCTCGTCGCGTTGCCTAGGTGATCTGTATTGTTTCACGAGACGACTCTGCCTAACTAGTGATCGGTCCTAGCGGCAACAAGGCAACTTGACGTCAGAGTACTTTACAAGCGACTTGTGTAATGCTTGATGTTTGTTGGACATCCTCTCTTAACAGCCTCGTATGAAGAGTGGATCTCAGTTACTATAATGGGGATCGGTCCCTTCGGATCTGAGACCAGCTTGACTACACGACATTGTCAATCTAGATTGGTACCAACATTTCCTGAAAGATGGTGACCACAAAGCTGCAATGATTAGTTTGATCGGAACGATGGCTTTTTACGTGTCGTTAACACTTAATCACTGGCGTGCTTGACATATCGCGCTGACTCACCACGCTTGTCGACTAGACGCAAATCTACTTCTCCCAATTTTATGGAGATGTTGGTGATCACATCGCTTGTTTTTTGCCTCGTGATAAACATTATATGCATTATGTGCATTATATCATGCACATGGCTTAAGGCATCGTCGATTCGTTCTTTAACTACAGGCAACGTGGGTGGAGAAAGGACAGAAGTTGAATGAGCGAACAAGAATTCTAGCCACACAATAATATAATCCGTCCCTTTGGGGGTTCGGTTTCTCGGTACCACGAGAAATATACCTTATTATTTATTCCAAGCAGTACGTCTAATCGAAACTATCGGCTTTTCAGGTTGTAGTTCTGGATAGGTTTTATTAGGTTGCGACCTACATGAGGCTCACCAGGATGTGGTGCATCAAGATGAAGCCTTCGAGTGGACTCACTCCTCTGTACAATCTTAGGGCATTCAGCCTAAGTTGGTGTGGACGAAGCCCTGAGCTCATAAAATTCTTGTCATCTTTCACCATTAGGTCGCTAATGTCATAAGACCGGGCCTCTACTAGGGCTATCAGGCCTGGATAGTATACTCCACATGGCTTTTCAGTTACACAATAAGCCCATGCGGGAAGATGAGACCGCGTGAACGCTTTCCGCAGGAAACTGATTTGTTTGTTTTCGCTTTTCAACATCTCAGATTATTTCCACCAACCGAGAACATCTTGAGCCTTATACTGGTGGCTCAATTACTGCCTACCGAGAATATATATATATATATATATATATATATATATATATATATATATATATATATATATATATATATATATGATTGGTGGCATCCGGTTTCGGATTTGCCTGTCACTGTGGCCAGCCACAGGACGCCTGCACCTACAGAGGGACCATGGGTGGCTTTCGCTGCAACACCCACAGCTCCAACCATACACCTCATATCCACTGTAAACGCGAAGGAATAATACCGGGAGGCATGTGGCTGGGAGCCACGTTTCATCAACGAAGCCGGCCCACACTCCTTCACAGGCAAACACAAGCACGCTCTATTTGGGGAATCAAATGCACACAATGCGGTGGCTGGACAGTAGTCGGCTCCACACTGAGTGCATGGAACCACTCTTTGATCCTAACACGGCCATAAGAACTGTGCACTGCGTCACCTCCAGCAACGACCAACTGTCTCCTAGATCCAGTATGGACGAGGTAGTGGGTAACAGACAGGGAGGCACCTCGTCAACATGCACATCAAGCGTGGCTACATCGGGGATATCAAGCAACAATCTATCACTTAAGAGAAACATAACAAATAAACGAAATAGAGTAATGCATAAGGAAACGGTGGCCTAAATCTTAAATTAATGAGCATATGAAATAAGTTGTTTGCCAACGAATACGTGGTAAGTTCAAGAGGTCAGGAAGTTTGTTTTCCGGAAAGGCTACAAACACGAAAATGTTATCGAAATAACTAAAAGTGGCTTAAGCGACATCTGCAAGTGTATAGAAGGGAGAATAGGTAGATATTTATATGATAAAGAAAAGCATTAGGACAAAATTGCAAACCCACCACCTGAAATAAAGAGATTTAGCATGCAAGCACGCGGTTATTAAATCGAATGCAGCGTACCTACAAACGCTGTGCCGGTTCTGCCTACGTTCTCTGCAGGACACGTCGTCGCTTCGGTAGTGGTCCCGAGTGGCCAGCTATATATATATATATATATATATATATATATATATATATATATATTGCCCCATGCTGAGGCTGATGTTACAGTCTTGATGCTTCTTCACCGCAGTTGGGCTAAACCAACTTACACTTAAACTAGGTCTTTTTAAGCTGGCTAAATTTCATTCCGCTTTATTTGGTTTGTTCTGCTTCCCTGAATAATGTTCTATTAACTGGCCACGTTGCTTGCACTAATTGCGCTTATCTTCGGTAATTTTGTTGCGTATGTAGCATTTTAAGTAACTTGTGGACATTTCTTACTTATCACGGATTTGTTGCTAACCAAATTACTTCATATGCTAATTTAGCGAAGAGTTATGCCACCGTATCTGTATGCATTATTGGATTTATTTATTCAGCTTGTCGTTTAAAGTGAATGGCCGTTGTTTGATATCCCTGGTATGGTTGCGCTTGATGTGTATGTTGACGAGGTGCTTACCTGTCTATTACCCACTGTCTCATCCATATTAGATCTAGGAGACAGTTGGACGTTACTGGAGGGGACGGGGTGCACGGTTCTTGTGGCCGTGCTAGGATCAAAGAGCGGTTCCATGCACTCAGTGTGGAGCGGACTACGGTCCAGCCACCGCCTTGTGTGCGCTTGATTCCCCAAATACAGCGTGCTTGTGTTTGCCTGTGAAGGAGTATGGGCCAGCTCCGTTGATGAAACGTGGTTCCCATCCGCATGCCTCCGGGTCTTATTCCTTCGGGTTTACACTGGATATGGGGCATGTGGTTGTAGCTGTGGGTGGTGCAGCGCAAGCCACCCATGGTCCCTCTGTAGGCGCAGGCGTCCTGTGGCTTGCCACGGTGACAGGCGAATCCGAAACCGGATGCCGCCAGCCATATATATATATATATATATATATATATATATATATATATATATATATATATATAATTCCGAATAAATAAGTGTTATTCTGAGGGCATGGTATACATATTTGAGGGGGCACAATTATCGTTAGCTTGCAAGATATTTGTAACCTATCTGATTCATTTCGGAAAAGATTAGGAGCAGTCAGTTAGTATATCTGCTGAGGAACGTTTCATTTTTGTCACACAGCGGACTTGGTCTGAAGAAGACTCTGTCGAATGGGAGACATTGCTTTACTTAACCGACCTGGTTACCGTTAGATTCTCGGTAGGCAGTAATTGAGCCACCAGTATAAGGCTTAGTAGTGTTAGTCCGTCCCACCATTTTCCATAGACCCGGCCCACAGCAGGACGCAATGCACACGTGTTTACTCTTGTCTGACGACGATACTATCTGCTTAAGCTGTGTTGGATACTCAGCTGTTTGTGTGTTAAGTTTGAACAAGAAACGATGCAGCGAAGGCAGCAAGGAAGCTACTTACCGATGCGGTTATATCTTTCCACAACAACCACTCGTTTATTGCCGCTTAGTATAGTCAAGGCGTTGTTATCTCGATTTGGAATGTTTATTGGACCATTTAGGCTATATATCAACTTCTTATACACGTTATATCATATTATGTAGATCTTGTCATATGCTTAGTGCTTTTATCGTAGATAATAACCGGTACAAAATGGTAACGCACTGCTTTCGCAGATGCTTTGTAATCCCGAACGAGCTATGTTCTTATCACTAGGAGTTGCGTATAGGTCATGAAGGACTTCTGTTCATCACTAGCTAGCGACCATCATTACGTTAGCACCGAATTCAAGCGACTGGTCGCCTCGTTGAGTTGTGCTCATCGGACCGTTCAGATCCGGACCAAATCGATAATTAAGAACATAAATCGAGCAGCTGCCCCTGCATAACCACACATCTTTATACGATCCCTCCGCATTTGCATCCGGGTGAAAGCTTGAACGTTTTCCTCATTCGTATTGGAGGCGCCCAACACCTGCTGACCTTGACAGCGTCACTACCGCCTGCAGCTGCTGGAAAGGTCCTTTTATTTGGCATTTTGGTCATAATCCCCTACTTCTGGCCGAATCATGGGCCGTCTTGTGTTGATGCCTTTGCGTATCCGCGTGAGTTTGTGTGTGGGTGTGAGTCGAGGTTAACAGCTCTCAGCCTGACCAGGTGCATGTTTCTGAACAGCCGAGATGATCGAAGAGGCGATTAGGGGACGCCGTGCGTCCGTAGCCACCACACCAAATGAAGACGAACTCAAACCCATGCCTTCTGCTGCTTGAACCCAAACCATCACACAACTAACTGTACTGCCAATTAGCTTAGGCCAGAAGGCGACTCGTTCTTCGTGCGTGCAAACATGGAACGGATAATGAACAGAATAGACACCTGCAGAGCATAGATGCAAAGCATGTCGATAAATTGACCAAAAGAGTAAGCAGCTGAGTGACAGGACAGAGGGAACGTGCACTCATAAATTTCGCTAAACAAGGTCACATAAACTGTGTTGCTATGCTAGGGTCTTCGTTATAACATAATTCAAGCCGAGCTCATTGTCGATGATATCTGCCCCAAATGATACATAGGAACTTAACCTGTGGTGCCAGATTATTAGTGTGAATTGTATGGGGTTTCTAAAGGTGTTCCTTTTGTTTCTGAAGGCATCGCGCTTGCGATGCGGTTGACAGTGTTCTAGCAAGTATACAAGTCACTTGGTTACAACAGCAACAACCGTTTTAGGCGAGCTCACGTTATTTTGAATATTTTCTTGCAACTAAGATTATCAAATTTGCGGGAATGAATCCCATTTCCTTGCGAGAATTTGAATTAAGTTAATCTTGAATACTGCCTCTCATTTATTTACATATACATGGTGACGTGCTTAAATGAGATCGATACGAGCAACCATATGCGGATGAGGCATCCAAATGTGTGACTTCCATGTGTGCCTTCCGTAACGCTCCAAAGTAGGGCGAGGATAGCGAAAACGTGTATAGGGGCTTCAGTCACAGGCTAGTAAGGGCGTCAGTAAAAGGGATGGCATTTTCCCTAGATTAATTTGAACACCTTGTGAATGATTTTGTAAATTGCACACTTGTGCGTATTTTATACTTTTCCATTTTTGCCATTGCGTACAAGTGGGATAGCATGCTAGATGCGCCGGCCAAATGCTAACTTGTTAGAAGTTATACTGAAAAACGAACCTTGTGACATTTTTAAATTTATGAACTCTAAAGCGCAAGACGCATGCGGGACATATCCGACGTTGCTGACTATCATCACTGCACTTGACAATGAAATCATCACGGCTATACTATCTAGTGGCCGCTAGGCCGTGTGGACGGAAGATCATAGCGTATGCTCTGGGTAGTTCTATTCGAAGAGTTCGAGTAAGCACGAAATCGAACTAGTGGTGCATTATCACAAGCGGGCGTCAACAAAATTCACAATTTCACCTGTGGTGCTACTGACCTACCTGACTGCAGCTCACTTCAGAGCAAACCAAGGTCTGCTGAAATCCACTAACACAATGTATACTCCGAAAGCTTGACAACGAGCTAGCACAAGTTATACCAAGTGCTGTTTGCTAGTGGTCAAGGCGTCAGCCGTCAGTTATCACCCACAGTGTCCCATTCTTAGTTACTGCGGTTTCTGCATGAGGTGTGCAAGTATGGACGGGTGTGGAGTTCAGCGTCGGGAGCCAGCAACACCAAGAAGCTCCATTTTGGATACGGTCTCATTGCATGAACTAACCAAGGTTTAGTTCAGATCAAGTCTTTCAGCACTTTTGCGGCTAAGATGTAAACGCACAGTGAGCAATCCATACTGCCGCAGCGGGTAAACCACTACCTCAGAACTAGAGGTCGGCATCCAATCATCAGTCCGTACTACTTTGGTGACTGCTGACCAACGTGGTCTCAACCAAATGGTTAGGAGTAGCTACAACGCTTAGTGTTCATGCCACTTGAAATGGATGTCCAGTGAGATGCATTATGTAGAGCATACAAGCATAATCTAGGAGTTTTCCCAAGACGGCTCCGCATACTGACAATTAAAAGGCAGCTTAGGATTGGGAACTTGTGGCTAGGAAAAACCGTCATCTCCTACTTACAAATAACGTCCATTTTGCTGAACAATGCAATACCCTACACCACAACTAGTTACCTAAACAAGCTGATCACCGACGTCCCACTGATTCCTCGTGGGTCGCGGTTTCCAACGCGGCCAATTCCCGAAAGGGCGAAATGGTCGATGTTGGCTAATGTGTGCTCCGACTTAACAGAACTGAGGCATTCGACTATTCATACTGCTTTCATAAACATATTTTGTAATGGCCTGCCATCTGATGGTGACGAAAATCATGGAAGATTCTCTGTTTCACTCCGCCAGTCCGTAAGGAAAAGTTTCCGTTTTTTAGAACAAGTGCTGTTGCAACACAGGAGGAGGTCAATGCGTGAAGCGAACTCGGGTTGACCAAGTACTACCACAAATATATTTCACATTTTATCCCATTTACGTCATCGACGACCTCGCTTTAAGTGAGAACTGGCTGCCTACATGAATTCGGGAATACTTGCAATGTGACTTTATGCTGAATTGACAACAATTCACTCGTACGGCCTATACTTGGTCAATCCATAATGGTATTAACGGCAGTGTTAACGAAGGTGCATGAGTACACTACGTACTGATGCATCTCTACCACATAACTGCACTGTTCCACCTGATCGTCAGCATCTGGAGAGCATACGGAGGATATAATGTGAAGCATTAATGGAACGGTGATTCATTACCAACAAACAACTTTACAATAACGAACGTCGTAGGAGAAAAATGCGAAGCCCAGGTGAAAGTGTCAGTAGAATAGGAAACATCTGTGAATGACTGTTAGGTTTATTTGTGCACACCGTTTAGTTGTGTTATGCCTTGGCTCAATGAACGCAAATTAAGTCGATTTGTTATATCGCCAAATCACTTGAAAAGCGAATGATATAGGGGGTAATCAAAAAGACTGAGAAGACCGTTCACGTTTGACACACCCGAAGAGTCAATAAGTTCTTGCGGCATTCACGTCGGCCAAATTCAACCGGTAGCCTCTCAGTCTGCTGTTGTCGTTGAGTGTCAATAATGACTCAAAGCATAGATGGGGTTCTTGAGGATCCAGTAGAACATCGTGAACCAATCCGCAGTTACAGATGCAGTCCACTTTAAGCTCTCAACGCATAACTTGGTAGGATATACAGAGCAAATCCTGAACATTTTTAATCGCCCTTGGTCGCGGAGTTTCCGGCACAGTGTGCTCATGTTTTTACACCATAGCTGCAAGATCTGGATGGCATTGGGCGTCACTTGTGCACATGAGCATTTTCAGAAATGCAGAAGGGTCAAACCAATCGACCACCTATAGCTAGATGCCAACCAAAAAACTACGGCCAAGCGGCTTAGGTTTCTTCAAATGCATATAGTCATAAACAATTGGTTATCTGGTAAAAATAAGGCGTCATCATCGAGGCAACTTCCTCACTGCATTCACTGTCCCGTGCCGAAACACCCTTACGCCGCTAAGATAACGCATTGCTACACAAACATGAAACAGTGGATCAGTCAGAAAACGACAATAAACGGCCGCTAGTGCATGGTGCCATGTCCTTTAGGGTTTCAATCTAGAATCCACGTTAGATATTCAAAAGTAACAAACACAGTCCACACTTGTTTCATTTTACCGATGATCCGTGGACCGAAGGTAAGCAATTCTACCATGCGATCAGGGTTTCTTCGTCTCCCTAAAGCGAATGTTGCAGGTGTGGCTGCAACGGCCTTGAGTGCCTCATCTAACTACTGATCATTGATATGTAATCCTCATAATCATGCCATCGTTTGTTTCTGTTTAAACACCCTAATGGTTGTGAGAAAACGTAAGGCATGTGATTCAACTTATCTGGAATACCGTTCCAACGTACTAGTTTGAACGCAGGCAAGTAAAATGCTTGTCTGAACTGATGTTTTAGTTGTCCCACTCATAACAACTATAAATCTATACCTATACTTCTGTAGCTGTCGTAACGCTAATCTACGTCTACTGCTCAAGGACTTAATTACCCCATCGACCTACGCATATATTGTGGGCCTGTCATTGACTACCCGTTTCTCCCCATCTCTGTTGTTGTTAACTATGTGTTGTGGCACTGCCAATTGTACATTGGTCAGGTGTTAAATAATAATAATAATAGTACTAATATGTCATACTGCTACATCGGCCACTCGCTTGTTACTCGTTTGCAACAAATAGATAATAATTCGCTCTATTGTGTCATCCGATGAAACCATATTTGCGATACTAGGGAGGAAGCAATGGGACTCTTCCATCTGGAACTTTGAGTCTAATGTATAATATATCTCATACAATAATATACCATGTATTTCCACACCACAGGGTTCGTCCAAATTGGAAAAAGCCGAAATATTGCAAGCAACTGTGGATTTCATTCAACGGCTGTACAGAGAAGGTAAGTTCACTTGGCATCGCTTTTGTCGTCCAAACTGTGAGTTACATAACTTGAAAGGTCAAATGGATGTCGCAACTGAGACATACATGTCTCATTCATCTCCCCTTCACTTACGTTAACCTAGTAAGTACATGTTGGGAAGATTATGCCCCGCTGTTCGCCATAATGGGTCGGAATCAACCAATACACTATGTGGACGGGGTCTGACCCGGAATATAGATGGGCGCGCTCTGCGTACGAGTTCAGGTGATGTTGCTCAGACGGATCCGATAACTTGTGTAGAGTCCCAATTATTGATTGACCTGCCAAAACGGGTCAAATTTGAGCCGAGGTATTATTGACTGAAGGGGTGCGTTTTCGCCTATGTTGAAGGAACAAAAATGTGACGGGCTAGCGTGCATTCATTCCCTCATTCACTACTCCGCATGGTCTATTTCAGTGATGAACTTAAGAAAACATAGGTTAAGGCTCTGGATCATCGTTACAATACAATGGCTAGAAGCAATCCCAGTAGCTTCTATCAGATGCTGGCAACTCCGTAAGAAAATCCGTACTTTAGATGACCAACCGTGTCCTCTGCACTCTAGGAACACAGGAAATTGGAGGATAGTTCGGGTTTTTTCACAACTTATGACTTAGTCTTAACAGGAGACGTCATTCTCCTTGATACAGTGTTCCTAGGCACTCACTTCAAAGCGATGGGTAGCGAATTTTGGCCCTTAACTGGTAAGTGGAAACCACATTACTGATGAGTCCCGAACCAATGAAACGTCCGTTTAGTGCTGCATAGGTTCAGTGGCTGTGTGAGTGAATTTAATCCTTAAACTAAATGACTCCCAACAAAGGGAATTCGGGTGAACCAAAGTGAATGTCTATTTATAACGTTGCATTAATCGTCACGTACAGCTCCTGGACATATTGTCACTTGTGACAAGGAGAATGAGGAACAGTGGCTGCTTTGTGATAGCTAGGTTATGACCTATGGGCTGTGGGATACCTATGGATCTCGACGGAAAGCCTCAAATGGTATTACTGAATTGCATCAGCGTGTAGCGATAAGACAAACAAGGGATAGGGCTTGTCGCTAAGCACTGGTGATGTCACCTCTTCTGGTGATGAAACCTCTGCAATCCTTTTACCCAGCTTGCCAAATCCGTGCACACTTGAAGAGCCAACCTAAACTATTAGCTCAATGCCATCTTCCTGCTGCGTTGTGGTCAGCCTTTTGAATCAATATCTTTGATTGGGGACTATAAAATCGCTACTCTGCTTAGGTTTGGACACTGCAACAATATTATAGGAAGCTTTGTAAGTGCTCGATTCAGAAATAGCACTTCGTCGTTGTTGGATGCTGTGAAGAAGTGAAGACTTGTATTCCTATTGATGCATTTGAACGTTTTCGCAAATTTATATCGAAATAATAGAGGAAAACAGTATGGCCTTAGTAGAAAGTTCGAAATTGTATCGATTTTCTGGTGGAAGGGATTTTAGAAGCTCCAGTTAATACACCTGATAGAAAATGTCCTAGCGGTGCTTACACAACAAGTAAACAAATACATGTGGTTGTGAGATAATGTTCCTACAGACGACATACAACCAGGACTCCTTTTACAAGATTCTATGTCATCCTACATAGGCGTTGTGCAATTTCAGAAGACCTTATGTGTTATACGCAGTGAGGCAGATAAGCGGAAACATGCTGCTGCTGCCGCTGCTGCAGTCTCACCTCTTTCATTTGCACCTTAGTTTACTTTACCTCTCTCGATCTCGTTTATTGAGTTCCCGTTTCTAGTTGCCGGTATGTGTAACACCGGCTGATGTGAGCCCGCTACTTCCTTGCCTAGCAGTTATCTCCCATCTTTTACCCGTTTCAGACCACACCGCACGCTTTCATTGGTCATGTTTACAATCCGCATTTGATTACATTCACAATGGCAAATTTTCCATGTTGACATCCGTCTCGTTAAAGAAATCAGAATCAACCTCCCTCACGCAGTCATGAAACTGTTCCCCACACTGTTAGTCACAACTTACTAGAAGGTCTTGATACTACAACTACAAGTCAGGCGAAGGCGGTCGTCGTTCTCATCTCCTGGACTAATCTGGTAGGCAGAGGGGGACTAAAAAGGCCTACAGTCCACGCAAAATACTTTGTGCTTTGAACGAGACTCTGTCATATATGACTTCTAGCAAACACCAGTGGCGCGCTTATCGCTATTTTTTTCTAGCCAAACTGACTGTTTAATGTGTCCGGTGCGTAGTTATGCGTGGAGTACGTTTTCTGATGATGCAGCGCAGTCAGTCCCAAAGATGCTGTCCCTCCGGTGTAACCTTACCTTTACACGATAGACGAAACTTTTTGTCGTTTGTTGTTACTAAGGTACTGGCGTCATGATTCTGGATGCTTACTTAGGATATTTTCATTAGCCGTTGGTGCATATCCTATCCCTGGGGAATACAAGATCCATGGTGGTGAGATACTAGTACAAAACACTTTTTACTGTTGTCAGTTTTGTTTCTAACCACCCCTTGACCTAATATAGTGAATGCCTCGCACTAAGTGTTAGACTCAATGATCTATTCCGTTCAAGCATCTTCCATAGATCATACTGATGGGGACCACGGGAACATGTGAGTTTGGTCTATTTGCTCCTCTCCTTCATTTAATAACGGCCTTCTGTTTAAAATGTTTCCAAATACTGCTGGCTGGTGTTAGTGATCCAGCTTGGAGGTGTTCAAGCGCGGTGAAAAAATGAACAACCGAACGGTTTCCAATGTTTGTGAACTAGCACCGCCTGTTGCGACGGGCATTTTGACAAATAAACAGCTCCATATTTCGACAAATGCTCAGTACTTACGTTCGCCCCCTTGTCGAATACGCAATTCAAGCCTGGCATCCATTGCTGAAACACGACCTTAATGCACTGGAGTATCCACAACGTCGGGCATTTAAGAAAGTAATTGGAATGCGCAATCTTTCATACCAGCAGAGTTTGCAACGATTGGGGTATTCAAAGCTATCGCAGACAACGAGCCACCTGATTATGACATACTTGATTCTGCGAGACCCACATCATGTGTGCCGCCCTTTATTGCAACTCAGCAGCAATACAAACCTGAGGGGCCACTCATTGAAACTCTTTACAGTATAGCCGCCTGGAGTGCTGCAGAAATTTCTTTTCTATTCATGTCTGTCACCCGAGGAATGCTCTTCCAGAATCGGTCATCTCTGCACCGACACCAACAGTATTTAAAAGACAGTTGGATGACGCACTCATCCACTTAGGCTTTGTCACTTAGCGCTACCTCTCCATCCTACTCCTGGAGTTTACCATGGATTTACTTAATGCTAACTGTGGGTGCTGTGAATCTAAACAGATTGCAGGACTACAACGGAGCAAACGAGAGTCCTTATTTTCATATTTAAAATACTAACTGTTTCACTATTATTATTATTATCATCATTATGATTATTATTTGGATATCCCTGCCAACTATCCAACGGGAGTTGTAAAACAACGCTTCTTAATCCGTATAAATTCATTGTTCATTGTTCGCCGATGTGAGCGCAAGTTAAATCATCCAGTTGAACGATTTCTTATCGTACTCTCACGAACATATTTGATCTACTATTATATTTGACGGCATGCTGACAACACACCAATTCTTTTACGATCAAAGCAGCACTGTTCCCGTCATAGTTGCAAAAGAATTAGCAATGCCACTTTAGGATTGAAACCGCATTTCATTTGTTGATAACTTCTCAGTTAGGAGGCCGTATGAAACAGATGAAGAAAGCTAGCTGATTAATTTTCATAGTGAGCGCTTTAATCAGTCAGGGATCAAATAGGCTATTTTTCTTCCCTTTAGGTCACCACTAAGGTCTGACTGTTAGGTCAAAGTTCAGGACCGCATTCCGGATTTGACGTGGGGTTTCAGCGACGATAACGACGATATTCGTACACACTGCAAAGACGGATTATGATCAGTTACGGTAGCTTCCTTGAAAAAGTATAACTTTTGCGTTCGTCCCATCCAAATGCTCGAAAAGCGTTAGAAATAAACTTGGGACTGAAAATCAATGTTTTTTCTGTCCATTCCAAATTTACCAGTGTCAACTGGCACAGCTTCAAGTTAAAGTTCAAAAATATGGGAGGCTGAATGTTTTGGAAACTTTGCTTTACAAGCTCTGGATAAGTAGACAGCTTTTACAATTTGGAAACTATATTTAAATATCCTAACTTAAACCAATCGCAACTTCCGCCAATAACCACTTTCGTGCGCACTGCCACGGACCCTAGGACATCATTTCATCTCAAAGTAGCCTTAGAAACCACTGGTAATGGCAGTGATAAAAGAGCCCTCGGAAACTGATTAGAAACCGCCTGTCGACTGATTGGCTGCGAACATGTGCATTCCGTTATCTGCCACTGACAAGGGCAATTGGCAGTGTCCCAGCACCTAGTGGGTCTTTTCTTGGCAAGCGTTCTCCGTATAAAATCCACATTTGTCTGTTCAACAACAATGCGATGTGGCGGGTGTGACTCGCTGGTAGTATTCTACCAGTCTGCAGCGCGAAAATTAAAATTTAACTAATGGAGAAAAAAATAATTTCTTTAACCAAGAAGTTTAATGTTTCATTTCTTGCAATAAATAATTATTTCTTGTTATGGAAGTTCTACGGTTAGAATGGTTCAGTACGCATGTACCTAAGAGAACACAAATTAGTGCGTAGAAGCCAACATGTGCTTTAAATGCGATGGGTGAAAATTGGTAAAAGCGGACTTTTCTGATGACTATACGAATGTCAACATAAAGGATGTGTGTGCATATGGCTGCGTGCCACTTATTAAGCGTATATTTCAAGCTCAAACTGCCAGAAGTCAGAAAATACGGTCGAAAAAAGTAATGTATCCCCTAAATACAAATTAGTTAAATGCTTCACTAACATTCATATAGGGATCCTGGTCATTCAAAAAATATTTAGCGTAACAGATTGT